GACCTTACTATAGGGGATACCAATGCATCCAATGGAATTGAAGTCTTTGTAAACACTTTCAGAATTACATCAACTTGAAAGTAGGTCTAATATCAAGGATAAATTAAATGAGGAGCAGTTATTTTAGTCTTATGCTACTGCTCTATGGTCCGAGAATTGGTACAGTTTTTTCTGATAAGAAATTTAAAACTTTAGAGACTTGGTTCTACATGTAATTCCGAATAAGAAATCATATATTGCCAATGCTTCTACAATTGTTTATGTTTTGACAGCAAACGGTCTATTCAATCTGCTGAAAGATACGGGTGTCAAAATATTATTTTGTTGAAAGGTTAAAAATACCTGAAATATTTTGAGAAACTGATGTATTACAGATTTATAATAATAATTTTGTTATATGTTGTACTGAAAAAGGATAGGCAATACAAAATCTAATCGGTGTGAAAAGGTCAAGGCCACATCTACATTTTTTATGTCATAATTGGAAAAAATCAGAAGGTTAAGATTACCGCCATTTTGAAATGATTGTCCTTCATACAAATAGTCAAACTTGTCGTTTTGACATCCTTTCCAGTTTATACTTGTGATAAAATCGTTTTTGTAGCATTTTATTGAATATATCTCAGAAAATTTCATCTGTTTGTCTCATGTTTGCATTTTGATATATTCAAGGTTAGACCTTTGACTTCAATTTTACAAATATGCGACCATACTGGGTTTGTACGACCAAACTTTTCTTATTGAACACATTTTCCTCTTTCTAACAATGTACAATATATGTGTGTGTTCTTCTGGTACAAAAAAAAACATATTTTCTTTGGTTGCAGTACTATTAGATTCTATGACATGTTGAAAATAAATGTTGCGATATTGATTGACTCGGCATAACCTTTTACCAAATGGTCATCTTGATAAAAAAAAGATGAAAAACTCTTGATGAACATATGTAGGCTCATGACAGACATATTTTAAAGCTTTTATATATTTTTTAAAGGAATAACAGTTAAAATGGCAAAAATAGCATCAGGACTAGGATCACAGATACCCTTTTTAAGATTGTAAGCTTCTGTGTTTCCCTGGTTATATGTTTTACTGAAAATAAACAGAACATGACCATTACCATGTCTGAACCTGCATTTTTCATCAATTATTGAGGTAGCATGTATACTGAAGCAGAACTGATCATTCCCTACAATTTTTGCCATGACATTTTTTTCTAACTATAGACAAACAGGAAGGGGCTGCACGGTGGAGGAAAAAAAAATTTACCCGCTTCAACTAAACATTATCAAGCTGCAGACCCAATATTAAATCATTCTCTTTCATAGAAGCCAATAAAACTGTTATGACTGTTTTCTACCCAAGTGTCTTTCGAACGGATGGACGGACGGGCTGAATGGTGGAATTAGGTGATTATTAGACCTGTTGTCGCCGTTGGCGAAAAAGGACTCTATGTGTATTAACTTTTTGCTCATCTGTAAAAAAAAACAGCTTTGATGTCATTTTGTGCATTGGAAATCAGTTAAAAAGAAACATAAACTATCCAAGATCTTTCCTATCCCAATGATAGTTTTTATGCGACCAAATAAACTGTGAAATCTGAAGTGTTTAGCCGTGTATATCTTTAGGAGAAAGCTGTTCATGTGGTGACAAATGCTGCAAGTAATGCCTACAGATGCATCTTTCTGTTTGAGTTTTGTTTTGTTACTCTGATGTACAGGATTGCAGATCCTCACCTTAGTAGCAACAAACCAACTTCACCCGCGTATGGAGAATATATTTCTCAACTCATATGATATTCAAGAGCTTGCAGCCGCTATAAAACGTTATCGGTGTCTGAGCACAAAATTAATGACCCAGGGTTTTTTAAAAGAAATTCTCGTCCCTTTTCTCAGAAAGTTCATCGGAAAGTACCAAGAACTAACAGATACATATTCAGTTTGTAAAGTGCACAAATAATACAAGATGGTCTTCAGTTACAGAATTTAGGTGCTAAAGTGGTCTATCTTCTCATTTACTTTATTGTTTTTCCTTTATTTACTTTCCTGCTGTGAAGGTTTTTTTAGTTTTTTTTCGTCGTATGACTTTTGACGTGACTTGGTATTTATGAATCCCGCTATCAGATTTTTTACTTTGGGTGTTCCTGATGCAGGTGGGTCCTGATGTGCGATTCGGATGCAATAGGTTTTTACTGTGTTGTTTCCATTTTGTTTACCCTTGGGTTTATATTTTAATTATTTTTTACTATATCGAGAAAATGTTTACTATATACGGTAGGTACTATCAACTACAAACCAAATTTATTTAAAGGTATAGCAAAAATTCAACACCACAGAGTTGAAAATAGTATTTAATGGTACACATCTGTTCTAATTGAAATCAGAATCCCAAACCCCCTTCTGTCATTATTGTGCTATATGGCGTCAAACATTGTTTTCATCAGCAACACAATGGGTAATGCTTATTGAGCAATAAATGTCTATTGATTACAGAAACCTAGATTTAACATAGGTTTTTGGTCGTTTTCACTGTAATGTTTTGCTCACTTTAGTTTATCTTTTCTTTTATTCTCTTGTCATGGTGTGTTTCGTCTTATAACTTTTATTCTTTTTGATAGGATTCTCGAAAAAAAGTACACAAATAATACAGATAGAAATTAAAAATCAAATATTTTAATAGAATTTTTTTTTTTCAAATATACATCAATACTTAATGTGTACCCTAATATATCATATGCATGGATACAAATCTATGTAATCAATGAAAAATGAGCATCTTAGACAACAGTGTGACATAATATCATTTATTGAACGCTTGTTTTATAGAAATTTTGTTCTATATACTCATTTGAGGGCCAGTACAACAGTTTGTATTACTTTTTCAAACGATCGTTATCCTTGGTCACATATAAAAGTAAAATAACAAAAATACCGAACTCCAAGGAAAATTCAAATCGAAAAGCCCTTATCAAATGGCAAAATCAAAAGCTCAAACACATCAAACGAATGGAAAACAACTGTCATATTCCTGACTTAGTACAGGCATTTCTTTATGTAGGAAATGATGGATTAAACCTGGTTTTATAGCTAGCTCATAACCAAATGTTCATATTTGCTTTTCAATGAATCGATCATTGTTAATCTAGTATTCCAAACATCATGAACTTTTTTTAATTAAAAACCTTACTAGCATTTTGCAACTTTAAAATTTAGTATTCTCATTTTTATCAATATTTTTAGGTTTTTCAATATTAATTTCAGTTTGATCTTTGGCCCATTCTTGAACTTCTCCACTTGCCAAGCATCCAAAAACAACAATTCCAAGCAGGCATACTCCAGCACACACATGAAACATATTTCTCCACTCTTCAGCTGTATCCTAAAAACAATAACTGTCAATGTTACCCCTAACATGTTGATATCAAAACATATTACACAATACACAAATCTTATATAGACTTTCTCAGGGTTTGAATAATTTCTTTCTAGGCATGTACTGAATATCAAATCTAGAAACCTCTAAAAATATTATTGGGCATTTCTAAAAACTTTTATCACTAAAGATGTACATTATACGACAGTTACAAAAAATAAATTAGACATGAAATTAAGGGATTAAGACTGGGTAACATATATATTTACATCATTGTAATGGTAGTTGGCTATGCACGATTCGCATGTTGACATTCACTGTTCGTTGTTTTTTAATGTATAATGAATATGACTATATTTAGAGTACCCTTCAAAAAAGTCGAAACAGACTAATTGACATACATTTTTGTGTGTATTTGTTACTTTTACGTTTTTTTTTTAAATCTTTCGCATTCTATGTCCAGTATTTTTTGTGCAATTAAGTGAAAATTGTATTGCAAAGAGTGCAGTCAAGTTTCAATACAAGAATTTACGTATAGTTTACATTTGCGAAATTTTGTCACTACAAAACATTCGAGAAAATTTCCTTTAAATTACATTAAATATCTTCAATGCAAAATGTGCTTCTTGTTACAAATAGTATCCTTACATACTGTATTTTACTTTCCTATGTCCCGTTCGTTCGTTCGACTCCGATCTTAATTGTGAATGATTGACTTATTTCCTCAATAAGGTCTGTGGGTCTCTACGGATTTTCCGGCCAGTAATAACTTTATTAATGTTACTACAATAACAGTTTACCGGAAAATGTCATTAATGGTAACGAGCCAGCTACAACTATTTATCTAGCACTGATCATACAATTGTAAAAACAATTTTTGGAATATACGTATTGAATTGTTGAAATATCAGTATGTACTTACAGATTACTTCCTTATTGTAGTAAATCATGCATAAGTGTAATCATTTTACTTACATTTGGTGTTAATATACTTGTTACAATTGGTGCCACCATGCCAGGAACAGTAGCTAGTGTATTGGTTAGCCCAAATAAGGTGCCCGCATACCTGCAAGTACATGTAAGCTTTGATACCGAAAAACATCACTTGCAACTTTTATTTACTTGTTTATGCTTTGTCATTTATTGTTTATGTTCTTGGATTATCATAAGATTAAGGTGTTAAGATATATTAATGTTTCTTTATAGATGGAGTTAATGATATAATAGTTTATATTGAAGAGAGACGAAAGATACCAACGGACATTCAAACTCACAAGTCGAAAATAAACTGACAACGCCATGGCTTCAAGACCAACAGACAAACAACCGTACACAAAACACAGAGGCTAGAGTCTAAACTAGAGGCAACAGTAGTTTACCGATATTCAAATCTCATAAATCCATTAAGAAGATATAAATAAAACACTGTAAATTTACAGACAAAATTCTGAACTGTAAATGTTCTTGTTCATGTGAATGCAACCATATTTTGTTTTTTTCAACTGTAGCGTTTGCAGATAATTTGTATTATTTTAATTTTAATTTTTAGTATTTTTAACTATTTTAGAAAGCGTCAGTCTAAACATTTATATACGAGTGAAAACTCGAAGCACATTTCATTTACTTACTTTTGTCCTATATCGATATTGTTAACAAGGCATCCAGCATTGTGGAAACCAGCAAACAGAAATGCTAAAGACAATAGAACCACAGCAATTTCACGATCTTCACATGATGTAAAACCAGTTCCTATAAGAAACACTCCACTTCCAACAAAACCTGATAAAATAACGCAAACATCAGAATAACAGAATCGATTTAGTTTCATATCTATAATATATACATGACTATACAATTGTTGTTTTATCATTGACTAAAAGCATACCGCGGAAAATCACGAGTGGTAAATATAAGATTAACCACTAAAGTGAATCTAAATAGCAATAGCGTTTCGTATTAAACTGTTCCTTAACACTTGTCTCTTGTTTTTATATTAGTGAAGTCATCGGAAGCGGAAGTGCTTCATACAAAACAAAAATGCGCACGATCAACGCTTTACCACTCTAAAAAATGAATAAAATGAAATTGAAGCATTCCATTCGTATACCTGAGTATTTACATTTTTATGCTACAACCATTAAATAACATGCTATAACAAATTGTTGTTAAGTAGTTCAGGGGAAAGAAATCTAACAAAAATACCGAAATCTAAGGCAAATTCAAAAAGGGAAAATCAACGGAACAGGTGAAAAACAATTGCAATATTCCTGACTTGGTACAGGTATTTTATTGAGAAATGAAAATTAATTTTGGATTGCCTCTCAATTGTTGTCATCTATGGAACATAATGTAATGTTATTATTCAAAAATAAAATCCCGTTCACATACAATATGATTATTATAAGATATGATTACGATATATATAATTACTTAATACCTAAACAGGAACATACGCGTCTTATTATTGTAGTCGAAATTAAACTTTTTTTTCGCAGGAAGTCTACAAATTGGCTGAGCAAGAATCCAGTTAGTACTTGACAAACAAAAGGCAATGACGATAAAGCTCCATTCTGAAATGCAAACCATAATAATTTGAGAGAAATTAATAAAATAAGACAATGCTATATAAATAGAATATGTAATAGAAAACTCATAAGCGTGATATCATTTGTTATTTTACGGATTTGTTATAGATAAAAAAAAATAAACACCGAAATCATGTGGTCCAGAAGAAGAAAATATCAAAATGTTGGTAGATATGTAAAATATCTCAAGAAGTCCGTATCAAGGAATTCAGAAAATGAGTTATTGCACGGAATATTCGGCAAATTTCATTATTAAAAAAAGTTTTGTTTCATTATTTCGACGATAATTTCCAAGTTAAATTTAGAATTTCAAACTTTTTTATGCCAAGTTTGAACAAAACTCACAGTTTACATGAAAAATATAATAATCAAGAAAGAAGCACGCAATTCACAGAAACGTTTCCATTTTTCCTGTTACATTTAAATATGAATGTTGGTAAATACTCACACTTTTTATATCATATCTTAAAACTGTCTTCATAAAAATTGGAATGCTTGTTACTAACGCATATAATACCCAGTTTACACAAAAGTGAGCTACGAGAATTGCGAGAAATGCAGGATTTGTCGCGATCCGACACCATGGAACAACAGCAGTCTAAAAGGAAAAACATATATTATTAAAACGTCTTCTAGAAATTGCAATTTTTTTTAAGAACAATGAAATCTAAAGTAGATGTTCTCAAGACTTTCAAAATATATTGTATTTGTATCTTTCAGCATTTTTTTCTAATATGAACACCCTTCTGTTAAGAGATTCAACAGAATTGTTTTCACTCTTTTCTGGGTTTCTTTGAATTGCACGTTTTTTTATATAATACATCAGAGGTCAATAAATATAACCTTTATCCTTAGCAATTTGAGAAACCAAAAGCGGCATTGGGGATACGACAGACAACATTCTCTGTAGAAGAAAAGGAAAACCGAACAACAGTCCGCAAAATAGTAAACGAAATCTTTAGCAACACCACACTTGACAAACGGCATGGACGAACTCAGTGCTCAGTAAGTAGTTCCTTTTCACATGTTGTTCATCTCATGTATAAAGCCGATGATGAGCTGTTTTCAGAGTTAGTCATAAAAGAGAGGCGAAAGATATCCAAAGTCGATAAAAAACTGACAATGCCACGGCAAAAACAAAAAACGACAAAAAGACAAACAACAGTACACAAAACACAAAATAGAAAACTAAAGACTGAGCAACACGAAACCCACCAAAAACGGCTTGAGGTCAGGTGCTCAAGAAAGGGTAAGCATATCCTGCACCAGTTGTGACACCCATCGTGTTGGTCATGTAAGTACAAATCCGATGAAAAGTGTAATTCGGTAAGTCATATTCGAGGAAAAGAGGACGTGATTGTGGTAACAACAATTGGAACATATCGGTTGTCATCTGTGAAATAGATATTCCATAGCGGTCAACCAACTCGCGATGCATCCGTAAAATGTTCGAAAGGGTGACTTCAACTTCACCACTTGGAATTCTTGGTTCAATAGCTTCCTTGTAAGCAGCAACCCTTTATCAAGGAAATCATGATAGGAAATGCAAGCTCTGGAATATCGTATCAACTTAGAGATATATACTCAATACGCAGGTGCTGCTTGAACGTTGCTAAATAGCAATGGAACGTTCACTATTGGGAAAACAGAGAAACGATAACGAGTCTGTTGCCACGACAAAATGGAACATAAATGTGGTTGACTGCGAACAAAAAATCAAATATCAATTTCAACCAAACAAGTCATGAAAGAGTCCGCATAACTATCGAAGATATAACGTCAGCGTTACCTTTAAAACAAATAATGATAATACCTTTTCTGAAGCAGCAACACTCCTTCAATAAATCTAAAACTCGGATAGGAAATAAGATTGTAGTATGCAGCTTGTTTGTCTAGACCGAATCTTTGAACAATACTAAGAGTTATTTTGTTTTTGTCTGAATTTTAAATATAAAATGTATTCATCGTAAAATATAACAGCCAGGATGACAAAATAGCTAGTTACTTTTAAAATTTCATATGAAAGTGTCGATCCCTTCATGTCTTAAACTTAAAATGGGAAAAATAATCAAATAAACTTAAAAACAATGCATTTAGCCAAAAAAGAAAGTATCAATCAAAGTCAGCTGGTCATATAAAATTTAGAATGGAAACGGGAAATGTGTCAAAAGAGACAACAACCCAACCAAAGAGCAGAAAAGAGCCCAATGCAACCAATGGGTCTTCAACACACAAAGAAAATCCCGAGCCCGGAGGTTGGCTTTAGCTGGCCCATAAACAAAAATGTGCACTAGTTCAGCGAAAATGGACGTCACACTAAACTCCGAAACATATAAATGAACCAAAATTTAAAAAAACATACAAGACTAACAAAGGCCTGAGGCTCCTGACTTGGGACAAGCGCAAAAATGCGGCGGAATTAAACATGTTTAGCGAATTTTCAACCCTCCCCCTATACCTCTATATAATGTAGAATAAACAAACACACATCAATATGCACAGTAAAATTCAATTTAAAAGAAGTCCGAGTCCGATGTTAAAATAGGTAACAGAAGAAATTAGCAAATTGACAATGATATGTTTCGATTATGCTTTAGAGATTAAAGATAAGCCTGATGCTGCAGAATGTTTCATTGTATCACTATACTCTCGCTTACATTGTATTCTTAACTTTATGATGATATTACCAAATATTGTAAAAGGAGGAACACCTGATACGAATAACATGTGTCACTCATATGACCACTCAAAGAACGCAAATTTAAAAGGTTTTCAATGTTCTATTTTTCATTTGATCTCACAGTCTTCTAAAATAAACAAGAGACAGAAGACTCCTAATGGAAAACAGAAATCATGAGTCGAAGAAATATCGACTACACTATGGCAAAAAAAGACAAGAGTGCACACGCTGAAATGTCTCGCCTTCTTTACTAATCATTGATATTATGTTGATAGTCCTAAATATAAAGCTTTATTACAACTGTCACATAAACTTAACATTAACCAAGTAAACTAAACATTGACCAATGAACCATGAAAATGAGGTCAAGGTAAGATGAACCATGCTAGGCAGGTATGTACAGCTAACAATTCTTCCATACAACAAATATAGTTGACCTATTGCTTATAGTTTAAGAAAAACAGACCAAAACACAAAAACTTAACACTGAGCAATGAACCTTGAAAATGAGGTCAAGGTCAAATAAAACCTGCGTGACTGCCAAATAGATCATAAAATATTTCCATACACCAAATATAGTTGAACTATTGCATATATAGTATTAGAAAAAAAGACCATTACTCAAAAAACTTAACTTTGACCACTGAACCATGAAAATGAGGTCAAGGTCAGATGACACCTGCCCGCTAGACATGTACACCTTACAATCATTCCATACACCAAATATAGTAGACCTATGGCATACAGTATAAGAAAAACAGACCAAAACACAAAAACTTAACTATAACCACTGAACCATGAAAATGAGGTCAAGGTCAGATGACACCTACCAGTTGGACATGTACACCTTACAGTCCTTCCATACACCGAATATACTAGACCTATTGCTTATAGTATCTGAGATATGGACTTGACCACCAAAACTTAACCTTGTTCACTGATCCATGAAATGAGGTCGAGGTCAAGTGAAAACTGTCTGACGAGCATGAGGACCTTGCAAGGTACGCACATACCAAATATAGTTATCCTATTACTTATAATAAGAGAGAATCTAACATTACAAAAAATCTGAACTTTTTTTTCAAGTAGTCACTGAACCATGAAAATGAGGTCAAGGACATTGGACATGTGACTGACGGAAACTTCGTAACATGAGGCATCCATATACAAAGTATGAAGCATCCAGTCCTTCCACCTTCTAAAATATAAAGCTTTTAAGAAGTTAGCTAACGCCGCCGCCGCCGCCGCCGCCGCCGCCGCCGGATCACTATCCCTATGTCGAGCTTTCTGCGACAAAAGTCGCAGGCTCGACAAAAAACGAAGAAACGAAAAACAACATTCTACAAAACTGAAGACTGAGCAACATGACCCTTACCAAAACAAGTTTGGAAATGAACTGATAAGGACGAATACAAATATTACCCGTTTGCTTGTGTCAAATTGTATATTTGATTTAATATAATTTAGTTCTTCTTTGGAAATCCATTGATTTGTGTCTGGTGTGTCATGTACAATCAGAAACCATGCTATAGCCCATAAAACTGTTAATCCACCTGAAATGATATATAAAAGATGTTGTCTAAAATTCGTTTCTCTTCTGTTTGCGACTGGTTATCTTTTTCTCGCATGCAAAGATATTTCTCGTTTCAACGAATGAGTGATACGATTTAGTGATACAAAAAATTTGTTAATTTTTTTGGCTTATCCAGGATCATGAAATGATATTACGAAATTTTCATTGGCTATTCGTTAGGTCATTGACTTTAAAGGTCAATACGATGATATTCATTTTCACCGAGGGCAATGGAGATCTGAGGTTTCTTTAATAATATACGAAACACTCCAAATTTTATTTTTGTCAAATTTTATTACATTCTGAAGCGTTCAAAACACTTTTAAAATGTATAATGTCAAAGTTTGATGCCGGAACAGGACATATGACGTCATACTGGTTTGTGCCAAAGACTAAATCAAGGAGTTAACGGATACTATGTAACACAAAGAGAATGTTTAAAATAAGAGAAATGGGTTTAACAACTCGTAAGAATTGGTTATCGCTTGCTATCAACTCTCGTTATTTGATTTAGATAGTTTTAATAAAAAAAGTGTAGCAAAAATACCAAACTCTAAGGCAAATTCAAAACGGGGAAATCCATAAAAACTGACAAAATCTAACTCTATCAATCAACATAAAAAAGTGAAAAAACTGCTATATTCCTGACTCGGTACAGGGAATTTTCAAAGAACACGGTGGGTTAAACCTGGGTTTACAACACGTTGTTTAAAATGTGTTTCAGCTCACTAGCGAAGTTTTGTGGCTGTCTTAGATCTTCAGATACTAGAGTAGTAGTCTGATCCGTAACTTTAGCCAGTATGACTCATTTTGACTGAGCGTGGATACACATGAAAGATGAAGCATGTATAACAGGAGACACTTACCGGTCTAGCTCCTTTTGAAGATCACACGATTTCCTTAGTGTTTGTTTGTTACCTTAATTTTTCTTTTTAATCGAGTCCCCAGTTAGGAATATCCATGATGGTTGTCGTTAGTCGTACTTTTATGCTTTTTTCCTTAAAAGAATCAAGTATTGCAAGCAGGCAGTCTCTGTAAATATTTATTCACTACTTTTTCCGAAAATACATAGTTTTTACTATTTACTTAACTCTTTTTTACTTTAAGTTTACTTTTTCATTGACGTAAACCATACGTGTCCTTTTATTCTCTTTGAAAAATGCCAATCTTCTTGATTACTGTAGCTCTATAATTTTCTTTTGCTTTGAAGCAAATCCGCTAGCCAGTGTTTTTGCCCTTGCATAATTTGACTATGTTAAGAATTTGTTGTAATGTTCGGTTTAATGTTGTGCAATGATCCATACATTTTGACTTTCTTTACGTTGTTTTTATAACAATAGTGAAGAATTTGTATGGGGAAATGTTTATATAGGGATTTAAATTAAATATTAAAAAGTGTACTGTGCATAACAAAACAATGATAGAATTTAAACATAATATTAATAAATACTTACCGGTCAAGTAGAAAATGGATCCCCAGCCATTGTCAAAGCCATGCTTACAAAGGTAACCAGATGTTATAAATGATATCACAATACCAAATGCCACTCCTGAAAACAGAATTACTCAGCATTTAAGTTTGGCTTCAAATCAGAATTCTTATTTTCTAATCTTTTGGAAGTATAGTCGTACGTATATCCAATGCGTACAGCAAAAAAAAATATATCAAAATATAAGACAAATTTCGAAAACGTATACATTTTATAAAACTACAAACGATACTACAGTCAAAAGTGTTTTACCATTCAAAAATTCCAATATATATTTCATATGAAACACATGGAGATGACCTCCGGAGACTGCCGACGGTCTTATAACCCGATATAAACACAAATATAAATATAAATATATGGCGAGCACGTGCAATTATTATAGGTTGAAAAATATGTTAATCGTTGAATGTTGACATTCTTACCTTTAAATAGCTGAACACGCCTAGTACATGCTTAATCCATCTCCAGCTAAGGGATTGAATTGAAGGTCACATGATTACGAATTACATGAGGTTAAATTATTGACTTGCAAGTCAATAATACATCAGCGATGTTTTTCAGCTTATTCAGACAAATTTGGGCCACACTGAAATCTTATAACGAATTATTATTTCAAAATTCCACTTTTATTGATACTTAAAAGAAAAAAGAATATTACTTCAAATTTTTGTCTAAATGGTACATTTGTAGCTAATGCTCCTTTAAATATCAACTGTTAACTCGTTATTGAATTCAGTTTTAATGCTAATATGGGCTATTTTTCTTACCTGTCTTTACTAAAAAATCATTATTTAAATACAAATATTGAATTTGTTTCTTTTAGATATGGGTTTTTTTCGTGAAGAATTAAAGATTTGTCATATTAAGACAATGTTTTCTTTAAGATTAGAAACCAATAAAATATTGGCAAATAATCTTGGCTTGATCTTTTTTGTGACTTTTGGTAAAAATTCCACTCAAATTGGACAATAAATGACAATTAATTAAAAACTATGTGTTTTTTATATGAAATGTATTGTAGAATTTCTAGTTGTGAAACAATTTTGACCTCAGACTATTTAAATGTCTTAATATAATTTTAAGCGCTTGCTAATTTTTTAGCTGAGTATTATATAAAGAACATATCGACAGAAAAATATTTTAATCGGGTTCAGTCTATTTCATAGATATGCTCTTGTCTCTCTGTGATTACAGAATGATTGTTATAATTAGCGACTTAAATTACTGTAAAACATACAGAAAGTATTCGAGACGACCAACATTTACTGGTATTACATTACAATCATTCTGTAATAAAATAAAAATAAAGGGCACACATTTTGAAAACAGAGTCTTAGGAACATAAATGCCCCTCTGGTAGTTACAACGTAAAAGGTCCGTTATAGAACCCTCACAAACAGTATTATCGATATTTCTTAAATATGTACAAAGCAAAACACTTTTTATCATAGCTACATTCTATATTTAGCATTCAAGCTCATTATATAAATGTACATTCCTTACCTAAGCATGCGAAAGACGTCAGTTTGCTCTTTTCAAAAAGAGGTGCCCAGCGACCAATAATTGAATTTCCAGAAGGAAGAACAACTCCCTGCAAATATAATAAAGCTATCGTTCAAACAATTTTAGGAGAAAAATAGAATGCAATCAAAATAATTAGTCAAATAAGGACACGTAAACAAATGTATTAAGTTTAAAAATAAAACGTGTTTTGATTATATATATAACATCTGTCGTGTTTTTTTTCATCTAAAAATATCAATACAGTAAACCAGAATTTTTTATCTATGTATGTACTCACTGAAGAAAGTCCTAATATAACACGTACTACAAATACTGCATACACTGATGTTCTGGCACAAACTGGTGTCACAAGTGAGCAAATGCCAGATATTATCAAAGCAATGCCAAAAACTCTTCTGCCACCATATGTATCTGACAACCAACCTCCAATAATTTGGGTGCATATATACCCATAGAAAAAGGAGGACAGTAACTTTGCTTGAGTTGATTTGTCCCAATCAAATTCTGCATTCTGGAAAAAAAATAGAAAATTTTTGACCGATAAGATACTACTTCATGTACTAGTCAAGACCTGTAGCCTTAAGGAAGACGCAAATAATAACGTTAAAACGAAAATAGATAATAATAGATCATATGGTTGATAGTACGTGACGTGAAAATAACAAAAGTATATATTTACAACGTTACTTCAAAAAATGAAAATCAAGTAATTTGCAATACTTTTATAATGTTACAAACAAACTAAATTGCGTTGGGTATTTTTTTTTTCTGGCTTACATCCCATGTATCCTTTAATTCGTCATTTGATAAAATCATTCAGTATTTAAAAAATGGCAAACAATGCTGCACTTTCAATTATATTGAACACGTTATGAAAGAAAACATGAGTACTTTGAGCATGATGAGTGGTGTCATGAAGTCTCCAACATTTATTATTTCTATAACATCCCTAAAATATAATAAGTTTGCTAAAAAAAAAATAAAAATGTAAAGCAAATGTCTGTTCTGTATTATTTCCATCAGATTTATTAAAGATTTCCATTTATATCAATCTTCTCTATACAATAGAGGGCCAGACTTATAATTATTTAAACAAAATTCAGTGATCTGAAATTGGTGCATTTTTTAAAATTTACACAGAAAGGCAAACTTCATATTATTATTAAATAAAAGAGGGACGAAAGATAACAGTTTAGCTTCTTTTCAAATCAATCATTTAACAATCTTTTGATGAATAAATATTGCTCAATTAATTTCTTTTGTTTACGATTGACAAAAATTAAAATTCTATCATTTCAACTGTTTCCAACAAAAATACACAGAGAAAAACAAGCAGACTTGTTTATAATTGTGCTGTTGAAATAGAAAAATAGTCTATTTATTTGTAAAAAATCAAAGTGATATGTTTCATTGTTGGAAAAGCCGAAGGGCTCGAGTTAAGCTATAGATGTAGCTGCTTTTGGGATGTAAATCATACTTTTCTTTTTTATATACTTTACAAACAAACAAACAAAATAACCCCCCCCCCCACCCCCCACCCCCCCACCCCCCCAAAGGAAAACTCTCAGACACACCGAACTGGAACGTTATATTTCATGCACTTTGATTCCTATGTGTTAATTAGTTTACGGAGGGTTTCATTTCTCTCGGCAATAATCTTTATGGCTGAAAGAAAAACGTGAACATTTATATAGAACGAGAAAAAAAGCAATACACGAAAAACATACATGATATGACAGAAACCAAAGACAACAACGAATAACATTGCCCTGACTTTGCACAGACATTTATAGAATGGAGGAATAAAACATGTTTGTGAACACTCAACCCTCACCTAAACTATGACAGTGGCGTAACAGCACCTCACAAGAACCAACTTTAATATCAGTTCGTAACAGCATTACTCGACAGATCGGCACGAAGCACACAGAACAACTAACATAAATCCTAAAGACACAAAATACCGTTCTTAGACTACTCGCAGCTACTAAAAGCTAGTTCAACCCAATTACAACTCAACCCACATCATGATCTTCCATACTAAAGTTATCAATCAGTACATAGCAAACTGTTTTTGTGTAAAGACGTCATAAACAGTCTGAGAAAGCATGAACATGTGCCAAACCGACAAATAAGTACAAGGTGTCGACTGGCTGTAGGACATAAATTTCTTTTCGTTACAAGGCATAACGAGTACCGTTATGCGTAGTAATTTGCACACTAAGCGGGAATTTAAATCATTCGACGGTTTGCATTCAACCAGTCTAGACTAAAGGTCTGTTTGACTTTTTTATTTTGTTTAAAAAACAATTTTGTTTTATAGGTACTGTCTTTCACACGTATACGACAATTCTTAAAGAATTGTACAATTCAATAAATGCACATATACACTGCCCAATTTACAGTATTTATTCAATTTTCTGTTTTCATTAATTTAGTTGTGAATTGTTTCTGATATTTTGTAATTGTATTTTGTAGATTGTGCAGGCTGTTGATCATACTTCTAGTGAAGAGAATGTGATAAAGACTGTGTTTTGCGTAACACCTGCCCTTCTAAATTTTTGTTTACATGTTGTTATTATGTTTCGATTGTATTATTAAATGACTGGATGCTGCAAACCTACATTCCATAGAACATTTGTGTTTTGTGTCATTGAGCCTTGTATAGAAAAGAAATGCTTTATGTTCGGTTGAACTCGTGAAGTCGTGAAAAAGAACATAACATAAACTGTTCAGCATTTCATTCTAAGTTGTGTTTTAAAACAAAATTAGTATAAGTACCGATATAAAACAATATTTAAATATCTAACTGCGTGTTCAATTGATAGCCGCTAAGATTACGTATGTTTAAAATATCAAGGACATGGATCGTATCTAAATTAACCATGGTTACTTTCTCGCTTTAACTACCCAGTTATAATTAAGGAACCAGTCATGTTGATAGAAAATTCTTGGCTGTTTGTTTGCTAAGGGCCCTTTTATAGCTTACTATTCTGCTAATCATTGAAAGATGTGGATATTAATTGTTTTCTTTTTTTTTCTTTTTTTTTTGTGGTGAATGATATTTTTACCATAATTATGTGAAATTCAAAAGTCTGTTAGTGGTAACAGATAGTGCATTTATATAAGGGTTTAACGACATTAAAAACCTTCACAATACTAGTATCCATCATCTGAAAACGCAATGCCTTTTTTCATATTTTCCAGTAGATTGCGCTGCAAAATCTTATAGAAGCAAGAGATCAAATTTTAAAGTTAACATTTTTTTCTATCGACTATCATAACATATGTGAAAAAATTTCATTACAATTGGTTAAAATATTGACCTACTCCTAAGCTTTTTGCATGGTTCTCTCATAGATTGTGAATTCATTTAAACAAAAGACGCATTGAGATGTTTTGTACGGTGGCCAGATAAGGTCAATTCGCGATTTCGCCTTTCAGCTTTTAATATTTTATAGGGTAAAAACGCAAAAAACACAACACATTTACCGCGAAAACGTAGAAACATGAAAGGTTTCATTTCTCATTTTCGCATTTTCGACATCGCGCTTTCGCTTTTTCGACTTCGCGCTTTCGCGTTTTCGACTTCACGCTTTCGCGTCTTCGTTTTTGTGTTTTCGGGTTTTAGCTAATTCGCGTTTTCGCATTTTCTCGATTTCGCGTTTTCTTGTCTATGCGCGAATTCGCGTGTTCGTGTTTTCGCAATTTCGCGTTTTTGCAATTTTACGTTTTCGCGTTTTCGCGTTTTCACCAACACTAGCCTTTCATTTTGCAAGATCGCAAAAATATCCAGTCAGTTTAATTTCTTCAAATTGTTAATCATTATCCAATCAAATCAAAGATACGAAATGATTGACACAAGAAGGCAGTAATTGACAAATGCTAAATCGCATATTGCAAAAACGCGAAATTACAAAATCGCGATATTAAGAAAATACAAGAAATCGCGAAAACGCGAAATCGCAAAACTGCAAAAGAGCGGAAACGATTTCGCGTTTTTGCACAAGAGAGTTTGAAGGGCGAAAACGTGAAATGGCCTTATCCTGCAACCATTGTTCTGTTTTTTTTTCAAATGTTTTAAGTTTCTAAAAGTCGGTGACCCTATTTGTTGGTGTTTTTGTATTCCTTCTTATACAATGATAAAACAAAAGCTGGGTTTTTTTTTAAATTCTATTAAACCTTTATAAAAATTCATATATGTTTCTCGTTTCTCGTTTTTATATAGATTAGACCGTTGGTTTTCCCGTTTGAATGGTTTTACACTAGAACTTTTTGGGGCCCTTTATAGCTTGCTGTTTGGTGTGAGCCAAGGCTCCGTGTTGAAGACCGTACTTTGACCTATAATGGTTTACTTTTATAAATTTCGACTTGGATGGAGAGTTGTCTCATTGGCATTCATACCACATCTTCTTATATCTATGAAACTATAAAATGTGCAAATAAAAATTACTTTTCCTATATATTTTTATAAACATTACAAATCCCATTAACGTCGGTGAAGTATGCTTTTTGCTACAGTTCCAATGTTTATTTGCAGGATATCTTTTGAATTGAAAATAACATAAAGATATGTACTTTACTGTTCATTGATCTTAAGGGACAATTAAATACCAAAATGTGTACACCACGAATTACATACCTATAAACTAAGACATTACCTCAATAGGAATTTGGCCATCCATATGTTCCGCGCAGTGCTCAGGGAAACTATTGTTAAAACGAGTTTCCGATGAAATGTTACCAGTTTTCACCATACATACTATGGCCACACTCAAGTTGGATCTTAAAGCATTTTGCAACGTAATGCCGATAAAAACAAAATATGAAAGTATCCAACGTTGAGAGCAGATACATGGGATATCTAATAAAGCAAAAGAAAAAGCAATATGGTTATTGTTTAATATAGAAACTATGTTTTTCCTTCCAACCAATACGTATACATGTTTGAGAACGTAACAGTTTAATTCACATTTTCAGTGACTCTATGAAATGTCCTACTAATACAAGACGTCTTCACTTTCGCCATAATCTATACGTTAGGCAGTTTCAGATTGGTTGCATGATTTGTGTTTTGCTTTACGCCGCTTCAGCACAAAAAGGTTATATCGCGGGGATAGCAGTTTCCGACGTTAGTTTCGGTTTATGTTATATGTAATATGCATGATTCAACTTGAATTATCTCCCTTTTTCCTGAAACAATCTAAATTAAAATACCTGACATTACCAATGTGTTGTAATGACTGATTGATTAATTGTGTTTAACGCCATTATCATCACTCTATCTTGTCTATATAATGGCGTCCTGTTGTTATTGATGGCGGAGGTCAGATTACACGTATATAACCACAAACTTCAATGTATTATATGTATGCGAGACATGTCAGATACTTGAGTCAAGTATAAGTAACGTAGTAAGTCCAGTCGTCTCAAATAGGATTTAGTCAATAAGACAGTAAGTTTGATATAGGATGAAAATTCAAAACATTAAAGGTTATGTAACCTATATGTTGCTCTTTTTAACTCAACAGCGTAATTGTATCGTGTGTTGTACAAGTTATCGATAACAATAATTTGACGCAATCAAAGCATGGGGATGGAAATAAACATTATATACACATTTCCATTCATTTAATTAAAGTTTTTGCCTAATAGTCTATGAGAAGATGTTTTTATAATAATTTTCTATAACAAATACAAAAATAAATACTTAGAGGTAATATTACCACACAATTTTAAAAAAATCTCTGTTCAAAATCTTTAATTTTTATAAGTTCTGCAGCTCAATTCAAATTGAATATGTCGAGGAAAAACATATTCTACGATCAATTTCAGTCGTAAAATATTTTTTTAGAAAAGCGTTTAGGATATTGATAACATTGATTCTCCTCTTGAAGACTAAACACTATTTCGCATGGATCAACATTTCCATTACGTAGTCACATAGCAGGCTCCAATGAAAAGATTTTATTGAATATTCAAGGTTAAAGTCAGTAACCAAACGAAAATATTTTTACAGGATTCATAACATTCCTTTATTTTATATTTCTTAAATAAAAAATAATAAAATACCCCAACATAGGTCGTACCTCCATTTGTTAATTGGATTTGGATATTCTTTTGATTCCCTTTTAGTTTTCAATTATGTTTACATGCTGGTCTTTCAAATTGCGGGGTTTCAGCATCCATGTTGAAGATAAATCAGGAATAATGCATCAGACGCATCAAACTTATAAAGTCTTATTTCATTTATCAAATAATTCAACGGAGCGAGGTAGAATTATAAAACAAAACCAATAATTAAGTTAGTTAATGATTTCCTATATTTACAACTTTTTGTGGTTTCAACACATCAATATGATAACAACATTGTACAGATAATTCTATCAAATGATTTTTGAAATAATGAAGTTTCTTAATATACCAGAGCAACAGCAAATTTCTAAAACAAAAAAGCGATCAATTTTAAATTTACATGTTACATTTCAACGGTAACCGTACAGACAAATACAGTACTTTATTCATGAGATTTGTATCACGTGACTTGTCATTTTAAATCAATTGCTCCCCTTGGTGGTAGGTTGAAAGTACTTAAATATATATCACATTTTCAGATAATCACGACTCTGGTTATTGTTTTATTTACTACAGTACAGACGTTGCATTGTTCGAATGATCTATTTGCTGTTCATAACGGTTACCATAATGTTTCGTCTTAATGGATTTCAATTATTAAGTTAATACAAAAAGGATACTTACATTAAATCTATGTTCTTGTCATCTCATTATCCGTATTTTTAACGTCAAAATTTAATATCCGTATCACAATAATATATATATTGAACGTTACTATTTACAAATTTACAGGTAAATAGAATGTCCTTAAAAACACACGCATATCAGTAGGTTTTTTCCATTTGGACCGATCGTTTGGTATTAACCTTGGGTGTGTTTGATTATTCAAAATTAAAACGTTGGATATCCATTGAGCCGCTTCTATTATTTTCTTGTTTATAAATATTATAATAACAATTATTGTTATTTTTTATATCATTTTTCATGCCTTCATGCTTATTAGAAGATTACAAATTTATGTAATGTGCAATAGAATTATAATGTATATTCATGTATATTATGGAGAAGACGGAACTAAGTTGAAAAACTTGTGTCTTATCCATTTGTTTTGTACAATAAAATATGTTTAAACTAATCACGACTTTTAGCGTCTTTGCACAATGTATGCTCAATTTTCGTGGCTCCTTAAATACGAAAATAAAAAATTAGTATTAACTACAAAATAACATCCTCTTGATGTTTATAGAATATTAGTCTGTCAGACTCAAGTATTTATATTCTTCAAATTAGTCTACCTGTTTTCAGCCGGCCTTCAAACTTCTTGAATTTACTGCAACACTTCAAAAACTGTCAATATAGCCTCAATGGTAGATGTAATCACTTATATCTAAATTGGAGTCGAGGCTTTACCAAAAAAAAATATATATTTTGCTACAAGATGTATTTTACAAAGACGTTACTGTGTGTAAAATATCTTGTAGGGTAAGGGGTACGCTCATATCTGTTATAACAGAAACGTTTGTTTTAATATGCTATTCTTGGTTGGATTTGTCCATTTTGACATTTGTGATGACTCAAAAGTAACAACACAAATGACCTTTCTGCAGTAAAGTACCAATATACATTAACAATGTATGAACATAATAAACATAACTGTGTAACATAATAAAATTAACTGTGTAAGGCTTGATGGATAGTTGATCGTTACAAACATGTTAAACCCCGCCACATTATGTATGTGCCTGTTGCAAGGCGGGAGCCTGTTGTTTAGTTTAGTTTAAACATATTTTATTTGCTAAATATCAGCAAAATGGATGAGACACAAGTAAATCATACTTATGAAGTCTCCTCCATATCACAATATAAGTATATATACAATAATATTAAACATTATGATAAAATTGAGAATGGAAATGGGGAATGTGTCAAAGAGACAACGAACATGCATGTAAAGCGAACAAATTCATTAGATATTATACGAACTATAAATAAAAAAAAAAGAACAAGAAGAATGAAAAAGGAGGAAAAGAAAAAGAAGCAAATAATATTTTCTGTGATGATGACTTAGGTTTGATGGTGATGATCATCCGTGCTGGTAGCAATAACACTTTATGAAGGTACTAGAATCTCTGTTAGACATTTTAATAAAATATTGAACATGTTAGAAAATTATGAGATTTGTTCATTCTAAAGTTCAAGGTCTCCGCAAGTTAATAATCTAGTATCGATAATAAAGTTTTCAGTTAGCCAATTAAGATTGTTAAGTAAAATTTCTCTATATGTAGTGTATTTTGGGCAAACGAAAAGAAAATGATGAACATCCTCAATATCAGACCCACACTGACACGAAGGATCCAGTATAGTGTTAGTTTTGGAAAGGTCAGAGTTTCAAAAATGAAGCGGAACATCGCAATTGAGTTAAAATAATATTCAATTTTCTCGGACTGTACATATAATACGGCGCAACTCTACTCTTAAATTAAGATATAGCCTGTTGTTTGTTAGTTCATGTCTGTCATATTTGTGTTTTGTTATGTTTTGGTTCTAAATCAAGCCATTTTATGTTTTGAACGATTTCACATTTTGTCATGTCGGGGTATTTGATAACTGACTGTATGGTATGTGATGCTTAGTGTTGAAGGACGTATGGTGACCATTATTTGCTTACACCCACGTCATTTGGACTTTAAAAATTGTTGTCTCATTTGCATTTCTCCTTATCTTATATTACTTAATTGTTCACGAAGGGAAAGCAAATAACGTGTAGAGTGCGATTCTATGTAGGCAAGTTGCTGGTGAGATGTTAGAATTAGAATACTTGTATAATTATTTTTCGGGCCTTTTTGGAGCTATTGAAATGGTTGTTCTCAATAAACAAAAATAGTGCAAATACAAATTAGCAGTGTACTCAAACGTCTGCCAAATAGATTGGTCCTAAAACGTTTTTTTTTTGTTCATATGAAATATATTCGTAATTCCCTGTCTATCTTAAAGTCCGTTTTAAATGAATAGTGATATGTATAGAACGTTATTTAAAAATATCTATTTGTTAACCAATATATTTATATTGTAAATATAAATTTTTGTCCTTCCTTTTCGAATATTGTTATTTCAACACAATTTCCATCTTTATTGTAATATTTCAAAATAATAGAATAATGGATCAGCTTTCAGCCTAAAAGAAAATGAAAACAATACGTTATGCGGCCGAAGCACTTTTCTTGATTTACCTTTATCAGGAACACCCAAAGCCGAATATTTGAAAGCCAAGGATGTATAAGGAACGAAAACGTTGAAGAGCTATAAACCAAAAAGGACTTTAAAAAATACACAAATCCATCTAAGGCCAACTTTGCCTGAGGGAGTTGAAACCTAAGTTTCTGTATAATTTCAACATTTATAAACGCGCAATCTCAACATTGTTGTGATTTTTTATGATTTTATTTGAAGCTTATATTCGAGAATATTTATTCCGTACATATTTGATATTCTTACCTTGCCTGGAAGATTCCATCATGAATATTCCATATGAGAATTAAAACGTAAAAACAAACAAGCTTATTTATATAAATAAACATTTTCTCTTTTGAAATATTATGTAATTAATTATCACTGTAATTATATCCAACTGGCCATGATAAATGTATCTTTAAAAGTAAAATTAGTTATTATGTTCCTGTTAAAACCATTGTTTAACCCCAAAATCCACTTTAACATTGTCATAAGATGTAGTTTATTTTTATTTATAAGTACATTAAAGTTTAAATCATTTCCACGAGCGTG